CTCGTGCCCCGATGTCGCGTCCACCAGACGGTCGATCCTGGGGAGTGGGAAGCAGCCCTTTGGGCAAGCTYGGTTCAGGTCGGTGTAGTCGACGCACATGCGCCATTTACCGTTAGTCTTTTTCACTAGAACGGGATTGGCCACCCAACTCGGGTAATGGACTTCCCTGATAAAATCGACTGCAAGGAGCTTCCCGACCTCCTCGTCGACTGCCCTCCATCGCTCTGGGGCTAGGTTGTGTTTCTTCTGTCTAACGGGCCTAACTACAGGATTAGTATTAAGCTTATGAGTTATGATGCTAGGGTCTATTGCGGGCATTTCTACCGCAGACCATTTTCAAGCAAAAAGCGTACCAGTTTAGATCGCAGGGGCTCCTCAATGGAAGCACCGATCTGAAGCATTCGGGTTGGGTCCTCCGCCAAGGCTGGGATGGAGACGGTTTCTTCTATGGGCGCAGCTCGCTCCTCGCTCTGCTCCGTAGGTCGCTCCAGCTCGAGGTCATCGGCCACCTTGGCTTTCCCTTTGAGGGCGGCGACGTAGCATTTGCGAGACTCAAGCTGGTCACCTCGCGCTATCCCGACTCCGAAGTCCGTGGGGAACTTCATGGCCAAGTAGTAAGTGGACACCACAGCTCGTAAGGCATGGGTAATCGGCCGACCTATTATGGCGTTATACGGGGAGGGGGTTGCGACCACCAAGAAATCGTGGTTGAGCCTCACTATGCTAGATCAAGTGCCGACTTCCACAGGTACTGTAATCCTTCCCAGGAGCCTGACTTCCTCTCCGCTGAAGCCTACCAGGGGAGTGTTCGCGGGCTTTAGGTCGCTCTCTTGGAGCTGAAGTTGGTCGAAGGCTGCTTTGAAGAGGATGTCCGCTGAGCTGTCAGAATCGACGAGGACGCGCCTGACTTCGAAGTCTTGATCTTCACCTTTATGACGAGCACGTCATCATGGGGGTAGTGGACCCCGCGTGCGTCGTCTTCTGTAAAGAAGATGGGGTCTTCCATCCTTGGCCGCTTTGGGGGGTTCTGCTCTTCCCTGGTGGCCTCGTGAGTTGATGCGTGAGCTGCAGCTGAGGTGCAGCCCGCCACAATCGAACCTCCAACTATGACGTGGATGGTCCCCCGAACTGGTCTCTCTTCGGGGGGCTGCTTCTGCGGCTGTTCCGCTTGCCTGCTGGACTCGGGAGCGTCCCTACTCTGCTCCCCTTGCCGACCTGCTTTATTACTATTATTATTACTTTGTACAAAATTTCTTAAATACCCGCGACGGATGAGCTCTTCTATCTCGTCGCGGAGGTTTTTACAATTTTCGGTGCTATGACCGTGATCTTTATGAAAGCTACAATACAAATTTTTATCTCTAACATTAGGGTCCGCCTTCAGCCGAGGTGGCCACTTCATATACGGGGCGTCCTTGATCGCCATGAGGATCTCAGCCTGCTTCGCGTTGAGGGGCGTGTAGTCCCTTTCTGCTGCCGGAGCTCGGAAGGGATGAACCGGCCTTGCCCCCCAAGCTGAGTCCTTCCTGCTGTCGCCCTGAGATGGGGGCTCTGGTTCCCTCTTCCTTTTCTCAAGGGCCTGCTCGCCCTTCTGGTTGATTTCTTCCTCTGTCCSTGTGAACCGATCCGCGAGCCTGAGAAACTCGGTCACGGTCTTGGGCTGATTGACAACTACGTGCCACTTGAACTCTTTGTGAGTAATACCTCGCTTGGCTGCGGGATCCAGATCGAGTATCTACAAACAAGCATTGTTGAACCGCTTGATGTAACTCCGAATGGACTCCCCTTCCTTTTGAACTATGCCGAGGAGGCTTTCCTGAGTTCTTGGGCACCTCTTGCTGGTGACGAAGTAGGAGGTGAAAACTTGCACGAACTGCGCCCAGCTTCTTATCGAACCGGGCGCGAGGTTTTGGTACCAGGTGCGGGCTACCCCTTTGAAGGTGGTGGAAAAGGCCACGCACATGCAGGGTTCACTGGCTCTTGCTAGGTGCATCTGAGACTGGAAGGCGTCCACATGATCATTCGAATCGAAGGATCCATCATACCTGTCCAGTGGAGGGAGCTTGAAGTCCCTTGGCATGGGGACAGCAAGGAGTTTTGGAGACAGTGGGGAAGAAACTGAGAGGAGAGGGGTAGCTTTCACTTCACGAGCTTAACTCCTCTTTTCCTCTTAGCTCGGGAGAGACTCGGGTAGCAGTTCAGCGAGCTCACCGGCGTCTTCGCTGCTACTTTGCCGGCTCGGCATTAGTGCTTGACGCTTCAGTGCCACCGAGCTCGATGGGCTCGGACTGCTG